CCATCTAGTGACAAAAAACCGCGGATACTTTTTAGATGACCCAATAGAAAATATTGTATGTATTCCGCTATAAGCTTTGTAATTAAAACTATGTTTTAACAATAAATTTGTATAAATTTGTTCGTATATTTATTTAATAATTCCAAATTTAATCCCATCCTCGTAAGCGATGGGTTTAGTTTGTATGAAAGAGAGGCCTCGAATGAAGAATTGACCAATCGCAATAGTTATGTGATCAAATTGTTCAAATGTGATTTGTTAATTTTTTCTCTGTCCGAAATCTCAGACCGATTTCTAGTATCGTAGACATCGGGCTTAAAATCTGTTTTCTGTGATTGAACTAGTGTACACTTTTGGATCTTGAAGTGAGATAGGTATATGTTTTGTGCAGCACGTTCACACTTATCACACACACACACACACACACACACACACACACACACACACACACACACACACACACACTCTCATACTCTTTCAGTCATACTTCAACCATGCTTTCATACTCGCTTAAATTCACACACTCCATGACCAGATGGCGCGCTCACACAAAACACCTGAATTACCCATCTAGATACGTATTCCTTTTTTGGCTCTCTTAACGGTAACATACGAGTCGAGTTACACTGTCGCGATAGAAAATTGTATGTGCTATTGAATAAACGAACATTTTTGTTATTTTACAAATTCGAGTTTCCTCCAATACCATAATTCATTATATGTAGCAATCCGTTTGATATTTGTAGAAAGTGAGAAAGAGAATGCTAGTGCAATCTAGTGCAGGAACAGAAAACAGACCTCTAGAGTCAAGTTTTGGAACGCACCCCTGCGAACAGTCCATAGACGGGAGGGCAGAGATTTAGAAAGAGACATCATCTAACTGCACGCATCATGTTATCCCTTCCATGACCTAACTCAAATGGCGATGTAAAATATAATAAAGTTCTCTCGCGCGACAGTTATGCTGCACACGTTGCTATTTCATATGATGGACAAGATCTCGACAAAAGGGTACATCTCTACAATTGTGGCGTGAAAAAGAGAAAGAGAGAGTTGCTGCAGGTACATTAGGTACATACAGCTTGGGTGGAGTGCGAATGCAGGCATGTCTATACGAGATAACTGAAAATGTTTCGCAGTCGGAGCTGGTTTGGTGGCGGACTTTGGAAGCCCAAAAACCCACATTCCCCGGAGCATCTTAAGTATGTATATACAAACGATCGATCAATATACATAATACTTGTATGAAATGTAAAAACATTCTTGCAAGTGTGTATTTGTTTATGTTGTCAGGTACTTATACAATGTCTTGTCAAAGAATCAGACTGTGTCTGAGAACAATAGAGGTTTGCTGGTCGAAACATTACGTTCGATAGCTGAGATTCTTATATGGGGTGATCAAAATGATAGTAGTGTGTTTGAGTAAGTAGAGATAAGAATACTATTTTTTTTATTATTATATTATCATGAATGATATTATTCTAGAACCAAATAATAGTGCTAATATATAGTACATAAAGTATACAAATTAATATGATATATTTACAGTTTTTTTTTGGAAAAGAACATGCTTTCGTTTTTTCTGCGCATTATGAAGCAAAAATGTGGGAGCTATGTATGCGTTCAATTGCTTCAAACGTTGAATATTTTATTTGAAAACATACGTAATGAGACATCCTTATGTGAGTTTTATAAAACTTTCTTTTATGTTTATATAAGGAAAGTCCTCTATTATGAGATAGGCGCCTAATATAAGATAGCAGCTTTTCTGCTAAAAAAAGTAATAAATGCTATCTATTGATTCCACCATGAATTTATTGTTCTTGGATTGAAAACTTAGTAGAAAATTCATAATTAGATTATGCCTATAATCATTGTAAAACAAGATTTTAGAATTTGAATGTTTCAGTTTGATTGAGATGAGCATTTAAACCTTGTTTATTATTTAATAAATAAATATTTGACAATAAATTCATCATGTAGAATAAGGTCTAATAGAAAAATACGGGATGTTGAATTATTTAATTGCAGAAATTAGATTTGATAGAAAAATATGGAATATGTTGAATTGTTTAATTACAGAAGTTAAATTTGATGATCGTAAAACCATAAGGCGTGGAAATCGTAATATGAGATACCCAAGGTATTCCTAATATGAAACCGATGCTCTTGTTATAGTAAAAATGTTATAGTAAAAATCGTTGCTAAAGTATAAATATTATTATAAAATAATAAAAAAAGACAACCGGAATGAATGTCGAGTGTCTATATCTGCGATGCTTGATTCCAACTACCTGAAAACGAGTTCTGGATATAATCTATCTATTGCATGCTTATTTTCCGCGCACACTGGCTGTGTTTGTTTGTATTTTAGAAACATTAAATAAAGTTTTTTAATTGCAATACTGATATATACTTTACGTTTTATTATCGATTTCTCGGGGCATCTCATTTTAGGAGCACAATTTTTTAACTTTGCGATTTGCTCACTTTTTACATTTCTTTAATTTCCAAAAAAAAAATAGAATTTGAATTAAATTTTATGTAACGTTATTTTAAGTTTCTTAAATTCCCTTCAAAATGACCTATTTTTTTTAAATTCTGCCTTCTAGCATTTACTCAAAACGAACTCTGTATCTCATAATAGGGGGGCCTTTCTCCTCTAAGTTCCTAAACAATTTGTTAAAATTTATTGTTTCAGATTATCTATTAAGTAACAATCATGTAAATAGTATAATAGTGCACAAATTTGACTTCAGCGATGAAGAAGTAATGGCATATTATATTAGTTTCCTGAAAACATTGAGTTTGAAGTTGAATGCACATACAATACATTTCTTCTATAATGAGGTAAACGAGGTACACACATGATATTTTGTGCTCATTTTTTAAGTTATGTTTTCGTAACTTGTGTTCATTGATTGTATAAATAGTAAAGTAATATATAATAAGATATATGCAAACATGTCTATGTTGGAATTATCCACTGATTTTTGTCACTGACAAAGTTATTATAACAAGTTTTTTTTGTCATTAGCATACCAATGATTTCCCACTGTACACAGAAGCGATCAAATTTTTCAATCATTCAGAAGGTATGGTGCGTATAGCTGTAAGAACTTTGACTCTAAATGTGTATCGTGTTGAGGATGCATCTATGCTAGCTTTCATAAGAGATCGCACTGCTGCGCCATATTTCAGTAATCTCGTATGGTTTATCGGTGACCATATTATAGAATTAGACACTTGTGTCCGAAATGATGCCGAGTAAGTATCGATATTGAAACATTTTTCTGTTACAATATCTATAGTAGTAATAATAACAATAATCCTTAATATACACGATTTTCTGATCTTCTATACACAATGGATCTAGAATTACTTTTCTCTCATTACTTTTACAAGTATATAAAAATTATTGAATGATTTTTATATATATTTTAACATTTTTAGAAAGTATCCATAAATTTGTGTATTAAAGAATTATATATATATAATGTTATAATTAATTACAGTTGGCAAAATGAGAGAAATGCACTTTCATATTAAAATTCAAAATTCAAAATTTCATATTAAAATTCAAAATTTTGAAATACAAGTAATTTAAGGAAAAATGTTTTATACTTTAAAATTCTAAATTACAAAATAAACAAAAGTTCAAGTATTGACTATACAAAAAGTGCTATTCAGTAATTTGAAAATGACAATTTTTTAATATATATAAATAGGTATTAATTGTAGTATATCTTGGGTATACATTGCGTTTACATTTTCAACGTTCGTTTTATTATTGATATTACAAGATTGTATTACAAAAACTTACAACTAGTAACTAGAAGAAACATTTTATTTAATTAACATTTGACACAAATATTATAGCACTTTAGCACAAAATTATTTAAATTAATTTGTTTTAATAATGAAATTCCTGCAATATAAAGCAATATATTCTACAATGTACTCTTTGTTTTCTGTTTCTTGTTTTTTACTTTTTGCTTTTTTCTTTGCAACCGTTTTATCAACAATTGTATTTTTTGCTATGTATTTCTTGTTTCTTTCGAGGTTCGCTAACTTCTCGGGCGATATAAAATAAAAAATCAGATAAGAAACAAAAAGACAAGATGTAAAAAATAACAAAAGGCAAGAAACAAAAAGTACATTGTAGAACAGGCTTAAGAGAATTAGAAAGTTGAAAATAAAGAAATAATAGAATTTCACAACAGAAAAATTGAAACTTCAAATCAAAATGAACTTCAGAAGTGCTCTTATCTTAAGGATGTGCATAAATGGAGGCTGGCAACACATTAAATCTATTTTCTAGATGCTAAACTTTTTTTTTAATGTTCTTAGTATTTCAAAAAAAAAAAAGAAATGACACGATCGTGTATATTAAGGAATAATAATAATAACATAGAAAAGTAGAGATCTTGAAGCCGGTACATCGAAAAAATACATCGAAATTTCGGTAATTGAAAGCGAAAGAAGTTTATTAATATAATTAATATTAATTGTAATTGAACTCTGATACCAAGCTCTATGTCTGAACGTCTTTGATTCATTCGACATTCTGACACTCTTGTATATACATACACTCTCGAACAATACACAATCTCACTTTTTAAAGATTTAATTAGATTAAGCCTTAAGTCTATGAAATCACTCCGAATTCTCGAACGGAGAAAAATTGACCAATTACATTAATCATGCGATTGCATTATTTAAACATGATTTGTTAATTCTTTGTTCAAGATCTTGACATCATGGAAGACCTTAAAGTAAATTATTAAAATTAAATTTCAATTTCAATGAAATTAGACAAGATATTATATTCCTGAAGATGCACAGCAGAATAATGGCACACATTTCAGCCCTAAATACAATTTATAAGACATGAATATAACATTTGGTAAAATTTGATTCCTTTTTTTTATTTGTTATTCTTATATTTTTTATTCTTATATTGTAATAAACAACTTAAAAAAAGTATTTAGAACCAATTTAATTAGATTTAATTAGATTTTGGTGTCAGTTTATTTCTTTCACTTTTAATTACCGACTTGTTTCTTCAATATACCAGTTTCAAGATCTCTATCTTTCTATAAACTAATCTAATAGTTATTCTCTGACAAATCTTATTTAAATTAAACCCCACAGTAATAATAGTAATAATAATAATAATAATATCAATATCAATAATAATAATAATACGTACTTCTTTTTAGTCATCAAAGTCAAAACAGATTGTCAGATTTGGTTGCCGAACATTTAGATCATCTTCATTATCTAAATGATATTTTATGTTTGAATATACCAGACTTGAATAAAGTTTTATCAGAACATTTATTACATAAACTGTTAGTCCCATTGTATGTCTATTCTCTAATGAAATACAAAAACACGTGCCAAACTCAGGTAAAAATCAAATTTTTATCTCTTTTATTATAAAAGTAAATAATTAATATATGAACTATTTTTTTAAATATAAATATGAGTTATAAAATATGAGTTTATTTTTCTTGTTTCGAAATATTTAATGTTTTATCCTCTTCATGCGAGTATTTAAAAATATTAAAAGTTAATGAGCTTATTTTTGTGTTATAAGGAGATAATATTTCTTTACAGCAATAATTAATTTGAATTTTTAGGATGAAAGAAAACACGTCAGTGTTGTGGTAGCGCTTTTTCTACTTTCTCAAGTCTTTTTGATAGTATCGCATGAACCTCTTGTACATACGTTAGCGACTGTAATGCTCATGTCCGATTTAGAGACGATTCAAGTTGGAACAAATAGTGTTCTCGAAAAATTTGGAGATATAATATCGAATAAATCTGTTACTTTCTCACTTCCGAAAGAAACATTGAAAAAATCTTGGGAAATTTTAAATGAAATACGCTCAACATCTAAAGAATTGCAAGCTCGGGAAAGCAATATAAGAAATATAAAAGAAGTAGTTAAAAATGCAATTGACGAATTGCAAGAATTTCATCACCCAAGCACGTCTTTTGACGATACTTCAACCCCTATAAATACTCCTGTTCTTACGAATACATCATTAAATATAAGTAATTCAAGTGAAGAGGATTTAGAGGAAATTAAGCACGAATTGAATGTAACGGATGAAGAAAAAGAACAACGTTTGGCATTGGAGAGCCCTTTACCTCATCAAAGTCAAAATAACGTATTTGAATCTTTAACAAAAAAACCATTTCTAGAAACAATAACCAATTCCTTATTATGTACAGAAAATGATTATGCTGCATTATTCGCGCTTTGCTTATTATATGCATTAGCTAATAACCAGGTAATTATAAATTCTGAGACCTGTCTTATTTATTAATGTTTTTTTTTTTATAATAATAAGTCAATTTTGTTGTTTGCCAGGGTATAAGTCCTAAAATTCTGGATATAATGTTATCTCCATTTCATAATAATACGTCGACGAAAAATTCCTATAATGAATTACTCATGGATAGGTTGATTCATATTATAACTTTGAGTTGTCAAACAAGTGAGTTGTAGCGATAATTCCATTATAATTTATGCGAATTTAATATTTGCATATACCACAGTTTCCAAGTTTTATAAGAAAATTAATTCTTTTTTAGATTCCAAAGTGAGACTTGTTACATTGGAATTAACTATCAAGCTATTAACACAACTGACAGTATCTGAAGGACAATGTCTATTACGAGAATCGCATCTAACAGTTATTGAAGCAGCGAAAGAACAAAGCACATCTCTGCTCAAAAATTTTTACAAAGTGTGTAAATTATTGAAATTGTACTAAACGCAAGTTTTGTCTTTTGACTTACAGATACATTCTGTTAAAAATATTCTATATTAATTTTGTTTAGAGCGAAGACATTTTTTTGGACATGTTTGAAGACGAATACAGCGAAATACAAAAACGACCATTAAATGTCGAATGGTTAATGATGGATAGCAATATTTTGTTGCCACCTACAGGCACACCTATGACTGGAATTGAATTTAGTAAAAGGCTACCATGTGGTGAGGTAGGAAGAAACACAAAGAAATATATTTTTAGATGAACATATAAATCTGCAGAAAAATCACACACATTATATAATAAGAGAATAAAATCATGAATAATTGTGTGCAGGTGGAAAGGGCGCGTCGTGCGATAAGAGTTTTCTTTTTGATAAGAGAATTATCTCTGATACTCAATATGGAAGTGGAAACACAATTACCACTGACTAATCCAGCTAATTGCGTACAAGTTAACAATGTTCTTGATCTAAGTAAGAGCTATCTTAACCACATGGTTAATTATTAAAAAAGTGACAGTTTGCGATATTTGATATACAATATTTTTGTTTATTCATTGATCATGATTATAAGTAAAATTAGATAAACAACACAAGATTTGTTATTTATAACTTTGTTTACAGATAACAGTGATTTGATTGCATGCACTGTCGTGTGGAAAGATGGTCAGAAAATTCGCCGTTTCTTAGTCATTGATGTTATGCAATTAATTCTTGTGGAACCTGATATCAGTAAGCTTGGATGGGGTGTTGCAAAGTTAGTTGGTTTTTTACAAGACATTGATGTGACCGGCGACAAGGACGATTCAAGATGTTTGTACCTGACAATTTACAAACCATTAAGTAACAGCACGGGCAATCGTATACCATTGCTGTCGGCTAAATTTATTTTCGATGATCATATCCGATGTATGGCGGCTAAACAAAGGTTGGTCTTGTAGCAAATGTCAAAGTCGTATTATCATTTCAATTAATTAAATCGCTCAAATAATAATTTAGGTTGACAAAAGGACGAATAAAAGCAAGACAAAAGAAGATGAATCAGATTGCAAGATTGTTGGATATTCCAACGAGTATATCTCATTGTTCAACACCACCCAATTATGCTTTGCGTAGTTTGCGACATGAACGTAAGTTTAAAACTAGAATTAGTCAGCAGAATCTTCGTAAATGATGATCGATTCAATTCTTTCAGGTATAATCGGACGTGGTCAGAGACTACAGAGAGATCAAGCAAGACCGATGTTTATGGTAAATAAAGTTCCTGGATTTGCGGCACAAATGCGTAGAGAGAATATTAAGCCGGTACAATCGTCGAATTCCAAACGTGATGATGCAAGTTCAAATGAGAAGATTCATGAAAATAGTTTGCGATCTAGAGATGCCTCTGGTTCACCTAAGATGCCAAGACCGCGGAGCGAGGAAATTCCTCTAGAAGATATGTGTATTCGGAAAGCTTCTCTTACGTCCAATGGACTAAATGTAACGCACATATGTCCAGAAAGGAGGGACAGTCAAGGTGCTTGCTCGAATAATGAATCCTCGTCTGTAATTAGGAAACATTCTGAAGAAACGTCTTTCACATCTCCGCAAAGGCAAGAATCAAAGCCACGTAGAAAAGGTCAAGTGGAAACTGTGTGATTAAACTAGGCAAACTAGTGTAATTCAAACTAAACGTATCTTTAAAAAAATCTTAAGAGGATGAATGAAAATGTGTACATGCCATACTTCTAACTTAGCCAAAAAAAGCCTGCTTGACTAAATTAAGAAAAAAATTTAGTGTTTATGAATTTTATCTTATAACGAGTAAAATTGTAGTTTTTATGATACTTTTATCAAATATGTGATAATAATATCAATGAAAGCTCTTATGATGACTAACACAGAAAAAAATAATGAGGTGGAAGCTATTAATAATATTGTCATACTTTTCTTTGTGTTAGAAATCACTGAGACTGCCCTTATTTATATAGACATATCTCTTACATCTTAATTTAACTTCTAAAATTTATTTGCGCTACACTATTCCATGTAACTATCACTTTAATGGTAAAGAAATCGTGCAACAATTCTTGTAATTATTTCATATATGTATATGTATCCCTGTTTTGAGAAGATTACAATTTTTCTATATAATTTGAAGAGTAAAGAAAGTTATATAAGGTTCTTTAGATGATATTAATCATTTATAAGTAAGAAGCAAAGCCTATACTAGTCGAAGTCTATCTGGAGTGCTTTAAATAATTTCAAATGACTTGATATATCACGTTTGTGACCGAATTTGTAAATTACCGAATTGATTTTTCGGACTTGGAAACGCAATTGAACTACCATATAAGTATCACAAATATAATATCACAAATTAAATTGATTAGCAATTTTAATGTCATGCTCAATGACATCATTTTAAGATGTCTTTCTTAATGTATTGAAAATCTGTAAATAAATTTATTACAAAAAATATTACCTCGGTCGGAAGTCAAACCCAGATCTTTAGTATTCTGTGCGAGCAATTCGAGATATAAATGTATGGTATATAAATTCACATGAAATTATTTAAGCACTCAAGATCTAGTTTCAACCAGTATAGGCATGTTTCTTATTGTGTATTCACATTATATGATCCTAGTAAATCATTTATTATTGTTTAATCATATTATATTTTAAATAAATAAAAATCCCTTCAAAAATTAACCTTTTGACTGTAAAGCATAAAAAGTTAAATATTTAAAAATTGAATACAAAAATATACATTAAGTAAATTAACTATAATAACTTATATTAGAAATTGTATCTTTATTTTGCATTTATGTAGGAGTATATCCTGTACATGCATAGTTACATGTTTATAATAAACAATTTTTTTTCTTTTTTTTTCTTCAAAAAACAATGTAGTATGAAATAGTTTTCGATATCATAAAATGCACAATATGTATTATATAAAACTAATCTGCAGCGAATTCGTATTTTCTAACTTTCTAATGACATAATATTTCTTTAAATATATATTCGTATTTTATTCTGATATTTCTTAAAAACATTTTACTATTATGTCAGTAATCAACAAATATAAAATTATGACTTTATTACCAGAGATAAAATTTTTTATTTGTTAAAATAAGCAAATGTTATCTTAATATTTAATAATAATGTTCTTTATAATGTTAATTTAAAAAGAAATTTTTTTCTGTCTTTAAGTATATTGTACATAATATTCAATTTAATTTAATCGAAAGAAATTAGCTCTGCTGTTCTAGGTTTTGTTTCTTCTGCATCTTGAGGAGTTTCGTTAGTTGTAATTGCGACTGGAGGAGCAGGTTGAAATGACATCCCATTCCTTGCATTGTTGGTACATTAGGCGTTTGAGAACCAGGTAAGGTTTGACTCGCTGCAGGAACAGGTCCGCTGTTAGCTCCGACGGACGGCACTTGAATAACACCTGAAGGTTGAGATGATATAGCAGTATTGGAAACATGCGTTGGTATTGAAGCTCCTTGGGTACCAGGTAAAGTAGATGATTGTGATCCTATTTGCGATGACAGACCAACTATGGCACCAGTAGGTACGTGACTACCCGAAGCCATCGGACCTGATGAAGAGCCCATATGTCCTTGAGGTATTGGAGGCAGCCTGATTTGAGTTAGAGGAGAAACCTGCTGTGGCATTTGAGACGAGGCGCCTTGTTGAGGTGATATATGTCTGCCTGCTGAAGTTTGTCCCGATGACATATGTACTGTTGGGCCTTGCGGAGGTTCTATTTGATGATTGCTCGGTGGCTGAAGCTGTTGAATAGATGGTGTCATTTGAGGCGGTATCTGCAAGAAAAAGTATTCTAAAGCCCATGATTTTCATAATATATTATCTAAAGATTAAAGGTTACTACGAAATTTATAGATGCATTTCATTCATTGAATCTCATTCATTTCATTGATGAATCTCTTGGTAACTTTTAATCTTTAGATAATCATATATTATGAAAATGGGCCAGACTTTTTTTATCAATAGAAAAGGCAAAGACATTTAAAAGTTTATAGACTTACTATTCCTGGGCCTGATATAGACACATGACTTATATTCTCCTGTCCTTGGATGGATGGATCCGGTGATTGTTGTTCCGGATTAGAAAGTGATGGCATCATATGCACTGGCAGAGTACTCATCGGTGGCATGTTATAACCCTGCATAGGATATTGACTCATAGCTGGTTGTCCATACATATAAACTCCTTGATTCGTAGGTGACATCGGATTGTAATTAGTTCCTGGATTCGGATAGTGTACATGGCGAACAGGCGATCCTTGAGAAGGTCCCATAAAATCTGGAATACCTTGATAACTTCCTGCAAAAAATAGAGATAAAATAAATAACTTTAATGACAATAAAATAGATTTAAAAATGCGTAATTGTAAATAACAAAAAATTGAAAATTACCCATTATATATTGTTGTTTCTGTTGCTCTTGACGCATTTGCATTTCTCTTTCTTGTTCTTGAATCTTTCGTAAAGCTAGTTGACGTTGATATTGTAAATATTCTTGCTTCTTCTTTCGCATGATTGCCAGTTTTTGCGCCATTAGCATCTGTCGCTGTCTCTCGGCTTCTTCCGCCCTTCTACGTAATTTCTCTTTATGTTCTTCTCGCAGAGCGTCTAAAGCAGCTCTAGCATCTTTCATCTGAGTTAATTTATCTTGCAAACCTTCATAATACACTCTGCTATCATCTTGTTCTTGAATATATCTTAATAATCTACAAAAAAAATCATTGTTTTCTGTGATCAAAATTAAAAATTCAATATATTAAAAATAAAGTTATAGTTTGTGTGATTTAGATATACCTGGAATGCATAGCTGTTATATTCATAAATAAAGTTTGAACTGAACTATCATTAGCAATAGATCTGCCTCTCGAGGAGTTGCTTTTCATCCTATTTACAAAAATTTCAACTTGAGATCTTAAACCTCTTACGAATTCTTCCATTTGAGTATCGATTTCACCATTTTCCTGTTTTATTAGTATTAGTTTTTGAGGCATTGGACTGCTTATATTAGGTGCAGAAGGACTAGTCACATCCACTCTTGATCCATGATCCTCGTTTGCAGTTTGCCTTTGTTCCCAATACTTACGATTTAGATATTTAGCAAGTTCAGGTTCGATCTCGTCGTCATCTTGTACCTGTGATGGGCTAGGACCCTAATAGAAATATTAGACTAAAATTTTATATCCAAGATAAAATAAGAACTTCACAGAGAATGTTAAATAGTAATAATAGCAATTCATTACATAATAAGATAGGCTGTTGATAAATATAACAATTTTATTGCCGAGATAATATTTTAATAATAATTTTTCGCAATAAATTTATTTACAGATTTCAGCATATCAAGATCTTTTTAGTGAAAGTTTACTGAGCCTACGATCAAATTTAATTGTACTACAGTAATATCTATTCTGCGTTTTAAAATTCCGAACAAAATTCGCACATTTCAAATGATTATAAATATATGTACGTATATATGTATGTATGTATGTATGTACAGAGATACAAGGTGTCCCATAACTCTTATTAATATTTCTGAGAGTAAGTTTCAAGATGAAATTTTGAATTAAACGTTCCTTTCCCAATTTTGACCCAAATCATTATTTACCGAGTTATTAATGATTACAGTTGATCAATCAGATTGCGCTCAGTCGGAATATACATAGCGCTTACTGTACATTTTCCCGATTAAAATTTTATTACAATTTTTCATATTAATAAATTACAGTAGGAAACTTACCCAATTTCTGATTGTTTTTTTATTTTTACTTATTTACTTATTTGTTTATTTAATTTTTAATTCTTTGTTCAATTTAGGTATTTAATTTCCATAGCTAATCTAGCAGCGATGAAGAAAAACTAACTACAGGATATTTACATGGATATTTAAAGATTATTAACAAAAAACATTAAAATAAATTGTTTATAAACAATTTGAAAAAAATTGACTTGACATGCATGATTCTTACGTATTTTATTTTGTAAAAACCGATGAAGCTATCAGTTTTTACTTAAAATCAGTTCTTTAAGAAACTGTTTAAACAATTGTTTGTAAACTATTTATTTTGATAATTTCTTAATATTGGCATATATCGTAAGATTCATACATATTTTTTCTCTTGCAATTCGATGGCACAATCATTTTAAATTTGGAATTAATAAATACGTGTAATAATTTAACTTGTGTAATTAATTTTATCGTCAATAGTCATTTTTTATCTCCTTGTTACATATCAATATTACGAAATTATTAAATAAATTGTTTACAAACAATTTGTTCACATAATTTCTTAAAAAAACTGATTTTAAATAAAAATTCATATCCATCGATTTATAATTACATAAGAAATATGCACGCCACGTACATTAAATTACATAAGAACCATGCACGCCACGTACATTAAATTTTTGAAGTTGTTTAAACAAATTATTTAAAAACATTTTATTTTAATAATGTTTTCTGCCAATAATTTTCTTTTAATATCCATGACAATTATGCCACCCACACACACACACACACATTAAATAATTAAACAAATAAATAAATAATAAAAAAGAATAAGAAACAAGTTAGAAATTGGATAAGTTTCTAACTGTAATTTATTTTTATTTATTTATGTCTACCCATTTATTCATTTATTTATATATTTATCAATTAATATAAATTATAATAAAAATTTAATTGGGGAATGTAAGCGTGAGGAGCCTCATGATACGTTGCATATTCCAGCCTCTGTATTCTCTGTAATTTATTATAAATCATTATGAACACAACAACTGCATAATGAGTTAAGTTGGTATGAGACTGCATTGAAGATTGAGATTGAAAGATTGAAATTTGGCGCAATCTGATTGATCAACTTTACTTAATAACTCGATAAATAATGAGATACGTGTACATTCCTTTTCAGGAATATAGGCCCTGAGTCAAAATTAAGAAAGAAACTTTTAGTTTAAAATTTCATCATCTTTCACTCCCATAAATATTAATTAAGAGACACCCTGTATACTATATATACAAATTCACATGAAATTATTTAAGCATTAAATCCAGCTTCGATCGTTACAGCCTTTATTCCCTAGATTGTTTTCGCAAGTACAGTCCAATAATATTCTTATTGTTTATAACAATTTTATGTAATAGAGTTTAAGTTTGCAACAAAACTTACAGGTGATGGTGGTGGAGAATATGTTGTTCTAGATATTGAAGTTGAATTGGATTTTAAAACGCTTGTAGCACGTTTCTTTTCTTTTTCTTTTTGTTCAGCTTCACTCTGACTTAAGGCTATTGCTAAATTTAATTCTTCCTCTTCTCGTAGTTCTTCTTCTGTTTTTCGAACTGGAACCTATAAAAACATAAATATACATATTATGTACGCGTGTGTGTAAAATGAATTGCTATACAAGTTGCGTTCCATTTAACACTCACAATGCTCGTGGAATCATTTCATCCTTATCGTTTATTAAATGTTAAACGAGGACAAACGAAGCTCACGAACGTTAAGTGGAACGCAGCCATAATATGCAACATTAAAAAAAACCACGTCAGAATTTTAATTCAAATTTTCGAGAATAACTTCCTTCCTTTAAATTTAATTTTTCATAATAGCATAATATAATATAACCTTCATATATAATTATTTGAAATAATGGACAAA